GAATTAGAATCGGACCTGAAAATGTTTGATCTAGCACATTCATCACCAAAAGTCTCAGTGTAAAGCAACACTCATGCTAGGTCTACTAGACTTTTTAAAAAATACTCCAATTGTTGTAAACAGACTGATTTTCGCCCGATTTTCGGTCACATAAACAATTTAGAACAATTTTTAACGTTAACAAGTGTGCGTGTCTAGAAGGAGATCAGACCTACTACACTTTTTGTTGCTATATCATCACACGCCGTCCTTCGGCGTCCCGTGGAGGCAAAGTGCTACCGACGCCACAACATGTTGCACTTCTGAAGAATATTAATGGCCGTCATTTCTACTAAGCCCTCATGGTCGTTAGCATTCTTTTCATGAATGTGAAATCTGTGAACAAGTTGTATTTTTTCCTTTTTATGAGTGGGAAATCTCCGCTGCGTGTAGTCACATCTATTTCTGTTTTAACACTTCGAAACTTTTAAGGGCACAGTTGGGATCACTTAGGAGGTTGGCTGCATGATAAGGCTTTCACGAGCCATACCGTATGGTTCCTTGGTAATCCTTTACTCACGAAGTAATTACAGCTTTATAAACATGATCTTTTGTCTGTACACGAAATGACAAATCATACTTTTGAAATAAACTCTTGTAAAACATTTTTTTAAAAAATTCTTTAAAATATCGGGAGGAAATATTGGCTCAAAGACAGTAGTAAAAAGAAGCCAATAGAAGGAGTAGAAAGAGGCAAGTGCCCAGAGAAGGGGGTAATTGAGGTGAAGGATGGGGGAAGAAAGTGGAGACGAAGACGAAAACAGACGACTGAACATTTTTAGAGAGCAGGAAAGGATGTGAACGGAGAACATTTTAGAGAAGAAAATTACCGTCGCTGTCCGGATTCGAACCCGGGGCCTATTGAATGAGAGACGAACACCTTAACCTCTAGGCCACGAGAGCCCCCTGGCAAGGTTGTATTTTGGAGTAGGCTATTGTTTGAATCCGATTGTTCCTACTCAACTACTTTTAAGAGACACATGTACAATGTATTACTTTAAATCGCCCTTCGAAGAAGGTCTAACGACTTTGTTTTTCTTGCCTGTTGTGGGTTTTTTTCTTTGTTTTGTTTTCGGGTCTTATCGTGGAGGGAAGGGGTGTTATTTTTAGATAATTCCTTTACCCTCAAACGTTTTTTACATAGGATTTCGATCACCGACTATTTTACACGATTCTGTTATCAGTCCTAACAGTGATAACACTGTGTTGAGCAAACATTAGCAGTTTGAAATACAGTATGCACCCAGTCCCTCACAACGACATCTGCCACATACATCCAACAATGCTGTTACTTCTTCAGTGTTTGAGAGCCTGACAAGTGCGCATAATTTTGTCGGGAAGGAAAATATTTATGGGTAGGTCAGCGAGTGCATTGTAGGAGATATTTTTTGCTCGACTGGGAACTTTTTCCCTTGTACGTGCTTAGAAAAATATAAATGTGATATTTTAATATTAAACATAACAATCAAAAAAACAAAACCAAAGCCGAATCCTACCTCCTTAAAAAACAAAATAAAAAAGAACAAGAAGAAGTAATACAAAGTAAAGCTCTTTTTACGCACAGTGAGATTCATTTCTCAGATAGTGTGGACGAGATCTTTTTTTCTTTTAGCTTGCATTATTCATTGTAAATACTTATGCCTGTTGCAAGCAACATGAAAACACAATAAATATACCACGCCTAAACACATACTATTCATTACTACGTGTAAACACACGTACCTGTTGCCAGAGTGGCGAGTGTATTACGAACTAAATATTATGTAAACTTGCTAACCCTATGCGTAATAGAGAACCCATGGATTTCGTAATAATAATCATAAACATTCCGATCTTTTTATTTCAAATGTTTTGCGTCGTCCAATTTAGATCATTTAGGAAGAGGGTTACTTCACCTTGCCAGTCAAGGCCAAGCAGGTCCGAGAGGGCCTCGTCTTATAAGCCAGACAAGCACAGGCACACGTACACA